TTCAATAAAAAGTCGAAACGTTTTGAAGCTAAAGAAAGAAATTTTTTACTTTATTTAATTATTGCACAACATCCTGCACTGGCTCTGTATGGCCTTTGATTTTTAACATTGATTATTAAATTTTATTGAGAGCCTGAGGTGATTCCTCCATACTTCTGTAGAAATATTAAATTTAGAAAAATAAACTTGTACATAATGATTAGAGAGAGAGAGAGAGAGAGAGAGAGAGAGAGAAAGAGAGACTTTTCGTTTTGTAAGGAAACTAAATCTATCTCGTTATAACTTTCGTTTTTCCTGCTCGTTATAATCTAATTCATAAAATATGAGGATCCCTTTTGAATTCAACAAGAAGATTACGATGTGTCACGGTTTTTGCTAATCTCTTTTACTCTCTCTCTCTCTCTCGGTCACTGTGTGCTCCGACCGTCGAATTTTCACGCTAATCCGGATCCAACAGGTCAATGAGACACGACATCTTGTCAAACTTTTCTCCCGATAGAGAAGCCGAAAGAAAAGACCATTTTGCCGCATCCGGGGCAAGAATAAGTTAAGCGCCTTTCGTGCGCGTGTAGGTGTATGTGTGTGTGTGCGAAGGAGGGGTCGCGGGGCGCCGTGGGATGAATAATAATGGGAGAGTATCCACAGGGATGCGAGAGAACACCTCGTCGGGCGCCTTTTCGTAAAAAGGCCGTTAAGGTGCTACCTTAACGATTCTCGGTCGTCCCGCGGCGAAGAAACGGGGCCCGAGAGAGGGCCCGCACGCGTGGAATGCAGATACGTAATGCTCGCAGAATGCGCCCGGGCCGCCGACCGCCGGGAATTATTAGTAGATTCGTGAGAGAGAGACCCCCTGAATGCAGCCTCGAACAGGTCTATACACGCGCGGTCCCCGTGTACACACGAAGAACGCACAGGTACGAACAGGTACGAAGAAACGGGGGACCTGCCGCCGATCTCACGGGGGCCTCGAACGGAGGCGGCCCTCTTTTCCCTCCCGTGCTACAGTTCGTGCGAATCTTTGTTCGCAATTCGGCGAGTCCGAAATCGATGCGCGCGATAAAAAGCACGCGATTATAACCGCAATGTATGTAAAATAAAATGCGTTTTGCGCGTAAGTGCTAATATATGTATACATATATCGGAGTGAGAGACACAACTGGTTTTAACAAGTCGGAACAAGTTGCATTAAGTTAAACCGACACTTCTGATAATTATCAGAACAATGTTTTCTCTAGATAAGAAAATAAAACGCGCATTTGTGAAATCGAAAACATGATAGAATTGTACGTACAATCAAGCGCGTTATTTAAAGCGCAAAGAAGTTACAGAGGTCTGGTAGTAGTTAAAGCGAAACGAGACGTTCGAAGACAATCAGTGACCGCGAATCGATTTCGGTGATACGGGAAGGAAGAACCGCAGAGAGAGAGAGAGAGAGAGAGAGACGACGGGCGAGAATCCGGCTTCTAAACGAACGAAGGATCGATTCTGTCGTCGCTGCGCGGCGCGGCGTGACCGCCCGTGTAAGAAACTTTTAATTGCGTTCCGCGCGCGAGCGGAGCGGCCCATTTCGTCTCGGGACTCGGGGTCGAGAACCGGAACGAAGGGACGAGAAATCGTGGTTGTAGGCAGGTAGAGAAGGTAGATGGAAGAGAGAGAAAGAGAGAGAGAGAGAGAGAAGTACGAGAGAAACGACGCGCGAAAGAGGGCGAACGCGTGAGCGAGTGCATAACTTATGCGTGTTCACTGAACGAAGAATTGTCTCGGGGAGGGTAATAAGGAGGAATAATATGAAGAATAAGGCGGCGTGCTCTATGAAAGACGAATGTGAGAAATATTTGAGAGAAAAAGAATAACTAGAGCGTAAAGCGCAGTCTTTTGGGACAAATTTAAAATTCAAATATATTCGAGTGACGATAAACGTATACGACAACGCGCGAAATCTACTCTGTTTTCTCTTATTTTCACTGAACACGTAAAAGCAAAAAAAGACCTTTCAAATCATATAAATAATAATCTCTCGACACACGAGAGGGAACCGCGTGTATAATTGTGACAATGATTGTTTAATCGTAAAATTAAATAAATACGCCACGGTGTAAATTTCATTGAGAAATTTCAGTTCCATCTTACCTTCTCCTCGAGCTGGGGACCGATCTCCATCGCGTGCATGATAGCGTCCGAAATGCGCGAGTCCAATTTCCTGACGGCTTCTTTGAGATTCAGGCCCAAAGAATTAGTGTCGCTGTCGATTGCCGCAACGAGCCTCTCGACCGCCTCTACGTAACCAGACCAAGCGAGATCTAGTTCGAACGTCGGTTCCGTCGACAGACAGCCTCTGCAACGATTATTTATATTTCTTCCTCATATGCTCCCGCAATGCGAAAATAAAGCCGCCATTCACGCAGCCGCGAATCATCGTGATTATCGTGTGTGACTATATGATTATGATGATCACGTGTATGTCCAAAGAGCGGTCTGTAATAATCTCCTTTACATACGCGACAATTATGCGTAACCAGAAATGTAAAATTATACACAATCCCCCGATCCGAGAGATTACACATAATTATAATGATCATCGGCTCAATCGCCGAGTTATTCGGCGACAATGACGATTATGTGAATTTTGCAAAGCTTGCGATAAAAAACCTGCGAAATGTGACACCACGTTGCATCTACCGAAAAAAACGCGCGACGTTTATATAAAATTAATTTTAAAAACGCTCTCCAGCAAAAGAACCACCCGTAGTAGCCGTTTAGGAAACTTTGAGATTCTTTTCGATTGAACGTGAGTCATTCCTCGCCTACGCGAACTTGACCTTGACCACCGCAAACGCTTGCCTAAACGAGCTTCTCTCAGACGTCTTTTAAACAAAAATGTTGTTGTCCGAGACTTTTGACTTAAGATCTGACGAAATTTCTTTGTTACATCGTAATTGGAATTGTTCGTAGAATCGTTGTTTAGAGCGAAATGTAATATTTGTTTTTTGTATAGTTAAACACCGTGTTTGCAATGACACGATCAAAAAGCTACGAAACAATACGACTTTTTTACGCATATTCACGAGATATTTGTGGAAAATTTTTCTTTTTCTTATTGTATTAAACACGTCTGTTCGTAGATGAATCGTATAAAGTACAATGTATTAAGATCGTCACGTCTAAACGTTTAAAAGAGAGTGAGTAAACCTCAGGTATATAAAAAATATTTGCAGTCTCATTTACACACCTTATTGCATTGATGCAAAATCCGACACAAGGCATCGCGCTCTTAATCCCCTTGCACCTGGCACAATAGGACATTCTGAGCAGAACATCGTAACAAGCCTCCTGCTGAGGACTGCTTCTGTCAGCGATGAACAGCACGCTATCGGTCTTTTCCAGAACGGTTTTGCCGACAGTTAAAGCCTGAACTAACACCCTAGTTGCTTCGAGGCTCTTGCCGATCTGTTTAAATATTTCTTGCGGCACGTCACCAAACGGTTGCACGTCCTCCATCGTTTGGTTCAGGCAGGCCTTGAACTTGTCGGTGAAATCCTGTTGATCCTGCTCCGGATTAATGGCATTGTGATAGGCGATGGGGAAGAGCTGCGTGAAGAACTCGGCAAATCGTTCCTGCAGCATCTCCCGCGATACCGGTTGCTGCAGATTGTCGGGAGTGTTGGCGGGCGACACGTAGTCCACCAGCGCCTGGTAGAGCGCCCGGATAGACGGTCTGCTCTGCACCGCCATCGAGCGATATACTTGATCGAACATGGTCAGAGTCTTGTTCTCCGACTTTCTCAGCAGAGCGATCACCGTTTCTGCAAAGATGCAGAACGCCTTTAGAGATACACGCGATTTTGAGAATCTTCGATTTCTCCGCAACTCGATTACACGCGTGTCACGAGTTGCGCACAACAAGTTTTGAAGTTCTTAAGAATGTCACGTTTTCAATCACATGATAATGACGGAATCAAGATAAAAGTAAACAATGCGTCCTGTATAAATTTGTTTTCTAAATCTTGTTTTCTTCAGAGAATAAGCTTTCAAAAAAAAAAAAAAAAAACCGGTCTGAGAAAATTATTCTTTTGTCAGAAAACTCTAGTAGTGTGAAGGCAATTTCCATTCACATACAAAGAAAAAGATCTGCTCTGAGATCTTGATATTGCATTAGAATTTAACGATCTCTTAACACTTGTATTTCTTGCGTCTATTTTTTTTCTCTCAAAGTTCTTCTTCTAATCTAAATCGATCGAGATTCTCATAGAAATGGACCTCCACTTGAGATTTCGTAAGTGGCGAGAGAGAGAGAGCACGGACCAAGCCGCTTAATTGCGAACGTACAAAACGAAGAAAATAGACAGCGAATGCTTCTCGATTTTCGCTTCACAGTTTTAAGTGGCGTCGGCAATGTGGTGGTGCGCTTCTTCGAAATGTGCACCTCGTGGCTCTAGTTATCTTATTGGAAGTAATGACAAATGCGAGATAGTGACGAAGCATTTATATCTTCCTATGTCGATATTATCGATATAGGAAGTCTATAAATACTAATTGCACGGACAAATATACAAATAAAACTTTGATGGTGTGAAAACAAGAAAAGAAATAAAAACAAGAGAGAAATGTGAATTTCCACCATGTAGTATGTATTCACAATGTATTGTATCATATTTTTGTACTGTATAATATGATAAATAATGGAGCCGAGTGCATGATGTATTTTTAAACAAAGTCGTCGCGACTAAAATTAACAACAACACGTATAGAAAAAGACGCATTGCCAATTATTTGTTTCGCTTTCTTTTCCTTCTCTCTCTCTCTCTCTCTTCTTTTTTTAAAACGTATTTCGTCAAAGCGGATCATGTCCATGTTGATTGAGACTTCAAAGACGATATCGCGCGTACGGCCACTTGGACTTGTTTTTCTTTAATTACCGGAATTTTCGTCGGGACGTCTCACCGAATGAATAAAAGTAAAATTTGATCACTTTTTTTTATTACCAGCAAATTTTATCCCCGTGTTTCTTTACGTTCTTTTCGCAGGGAATTACATCAATCTCTGAACAAACTAACGCGTAAATTGAGATTATTTCGCTTCCGTATTAATCCCTTTAAAAAGTCAAATCTTTTTTCTTGAAAGTATCGCGTGCGATATATTAAAGAAAAAAACAAATACAAATATTTCTAACATTTTTTACATTGCGTACATAAACGTTATAATACGGAAAAGAAGGAATTTCTCTGGAATTTTACAACATCGCAGGATATATCACATATGTTAGTAACTTTTAATAACCCACACACACTCGAGAGTTTAGAAAAAAATTTTTTTGCAATATTTGAAATCTGCATATTTATAAAGGAAATTCAGATTATTTTACTCCAAAAATCAAGAAACGTTTTCAGATTCCTGAATCGACTCGGTAAATCAGAACTCAACAGAGGATCGGGAAGGATTTCGAAGGGGCTCTGAAAGAATGTCTCGGCGCAGCGAGTGCGCTCGCGCGTCCAACGAGGATATAAACACTTCGCGGCGCAGAGAGAGGAAGTGTGTTTTTCGCGGTAGCGAAAATAGCAGAGAGCGGCCTGTGCTTGAATTCTAGACACCGCGTTACCGAGGCAACGACACGCGTCTCGCGAACAAGCCGCCTCCGCCTCGCGGAGGTTTAACGCGCGTTGCTATCTTCCTCTGTCTTGCCTCCTCGTTTTCCGTTTCTGCTCCGTGTAAGAGTACCGGTTAGCGTATGACGGTATAAATACCGGACTGACCACGTAATCGAGGTTGACCAAAGAGCCACACGAGCGAATCGCTCAACGTTAGAGCCGCGACAATTCCGAATCTTCCGAAAATTCGAAGAAAAAAAAGGATAAGTTTGTCAATCAGTTCGCGAGTAAAATAACAATATGAACTTAAACAGGAAAAAAAAATAAGGGAGGTAAAATGAATTTATGGCGAGTAGCAATAAAATATAAAATAATGCAGATTAACATCGCGCGAACCAGTTCCTCATATTTCTTCGTGGATTTATTTGACAGTGTCGAGGGTGCGAATATACAGAAGCGACGTGTTGCGTTTTATGCGAGAACGATGCACAGGAATTAAAGAGATAGATCGTGCGAGCGAAAAAGAAAGAAGAGATCAAGAACCAAGAGAAGAAGAGGAGGGATGGCTGTTCGCTTTCTTCTCCCCCGTATAAGGCGGCAGCACGCGGAGAACGATTTTGGTTCGTCGGGAAGAGGAACCCCGCGGAGAAATTTCTGAGGGTATTGAAACCCGAAAACCGTCCAAGATAATTATCTATCTTTCGGCGTGTGAATATTGGCCACCGATCGATATATAGAGGGACGGTTGTGGACGGATAAAAACGTGTATTTTAACAAAGATGAATTGCCTGTTCCCTTCTTTTGTGGAACTTTTGCCAACTTGTATCAACGCAAAATTTCTATAAATCAAGTATTAAAGCAATCGGTGACAACTGTCACCTACGTGTGAAAACACATCGGAAAACTTAGATTATCCGGTAATCCGGTGGCTTTCAGTTTCCTAAACCCGAAACCCGGATTTTCTACATACTCTCCCAAGAGACATTCTTTTAATATTGCTGGAATATCTGACAGTTTTCTTAAAAATAATATATTTTTTTTGTTACGTACATTTAATTCTTCGTGCATTTCCTCGCGCAAATCCCAAAATCAATTTTTCATGATCTCTTCGTTTAAATTTCTCTCCAGACAAGATTAAAACACTTGTAAATTTGATCGTTGTGAGGAGGTTCTCACTATACTATTTCTGTAATTCCACAACCTGAGTTACCACACGAGCCCGTTTCCGCGCAAACCAAGCACAATTAAACAAATGAAAGTAAAACAAATGAAAATGAACTATATATCCTTACCTCTGAGAACCTTAGCGGTTGTATCCAGGAGACCCTGCAGAGTTTTACTGTGATGGTGAATCATACTGTGAAATTTCGCCCGGGATTGTTGTTTCAATAGCTTCTCCATCTCCTCGCCGCAACAATTGCTGCCGCATATCGCTGAAAAAAAAAAAGAAATATCTCACGTTATTGTTACGTAACGCGGCAAACGCGAAAACAGGAAGGGACAGAAGCGAAGTCCCCCTCTTATTTGATGCGAGTTAAGTCAAATTGGGGCACAACCACCACGAGAAAAACAGAGGGGGAGATCGAATTGTTCGACCGCGTGAACTCGTTCCCGTCATACAAAAGTCTCGTCAAATCTTGTTTGCGAAAATTATAGTTAAACGTAAAGGATTACAATATATATGTTGTATACACACAAGTAAGCGCGCGCGCACACACAAACTGAGGTCCGATTGAGAAATTTCAAATCAAACGGAAATTCCATCATGTCAGATTGTTTTATCGAACACGAGATTTCATTTTATTCTATTAATCGGGTCCCAGGCTTTATGTGTAATATAAACGTTCGCGATACATGCACTCCCGCGCGGATTTTCGATGTATCGGCCATTTTCCAATTATTCTCTGTACATTATATTACATATTCACGAGTATCTATTTTCCGAGAAGAATAAACTCGAATGTACGTTATATAGGTGGATACAAAAAGAGCCATAGCGATTGAATGTGAAAAAGCGCTTGAAAATACGTGCCAATTTTACAATGACCGTTTCAATTCTCGTCATATTTCAACTACCGTCGCATTTACATTTTAAAACGCGAGTTTGTGTAAATAAAAGTCGTGCTTAAGCGAATACAAGTGGTTATGTTAATAATAACTCGCGACAAAACGCGGGGTAAATAATAACGTTTCCGCGCGATAATTTTGAAGGGGATCAGAAAATATGCCGCGTCGCGATCGATCGAAAATCCTCTCTTCGGTGACGCGCATTCCTCTTCGCCTCAGGGCGAACCGGTTTCGTGCACGAACGCTGCATCGAATTTAAAGATCGAGTTATACATGTATGTCGCAGGCTCTGTACATTCGAAATTCTTTTTTTTCGTAAAGAGATAGAAAGCGTGTTTTGCAAAAATTCGCGACGCTGTATGAAAAGGTTTCTTCTATATGAAGTAGATTTAAAACAAACCGACTATTTTAAACGCGAAACAACGTCAAAAAATATCTCACAAATAGACGCGTAAATGAAAACGAGAAGAAAGAAAAAATAATGATGTTACAAAATTTTATTAAAAGTCAATAAGAGTCTGCACAGCCCGCGATGCGCGATAACTATTGGCACATTGAAGGAAAAATTCTCGAAACAAAAAACTTTTATTTTGTTTAAGAAAACTATTACTAGATTTTTTCGAAGAGTACTGATGACATATTTACTTGTATTCGCAAAACGCGTGTATTTTCTTGAAGTTTAAATATTTATTATATGCTTAAAAATATCTAATTAGTACCTATTTTTATCTTTCATATTTTAATTTTATAAAATATTTACTAAAACGCAGTTTTTAGTTAGAAAAAATTTTGAATCTGTTTTAAAAGTATTTTAAGTGAAATATGAAAACATTGAAACGTAGAAAATGTACAGAAAAATAAGAATTTAATGTGCATGTATTCATTTAAAAGTACATACTTTTGCTTAAATAAAATAAATACTTTCTTTCATCTAAAGCAAAAAAAGAGTTTCGAGAAAATATATTTACTCGATTTAAAACAACTTTCCTCTCAGGTAGGTCTACAAATCATACAATGCAAACGTCCTTCGACCCTGTTGTGAGTTTTCAGTGCGCCAATTTATAAAAAACTTAAATGTAAAATAAAAAACGAACAAACGTCGTTTCGCTGTCGTGCTCAAAAGTATAACAACTCCGATCAGCAGAGCTCGTCAGAAAAGTGTATATAGTCTACAAAAGGTAAGGTAAAAATAAAGGAAAGAATAAAGTACAATAAGAAGGAAAGAGAAACCACTTAACTAGCCGTGGTAAAACTTTCAAACACAGTTCCGCGTTTACAAAGCGAGCGATAACACGTAAGTCGATAAGAGCTAAATGAACAGACATCTTATTTACATAAAAATTAATGTAAGTGCACTGAAAATTACAAATCATCGGCCGTATTTAGAACAATCGATTTACGGGAAATTTAAAACGGTTTAATAGCAAGCAATTATGTTGCGTCAGAGCGCGTCGTGTAAAAATAACCGTACATGTGAGAAAAAGAGAGAGAGAGAGAGAGACGTTAATTTATACATGTAATATCAGTTGTGAAGAAAATTAATCATTCTGAAACAGAGAATGATAGCATCACTTGTCGGAATTAGACTCGTAATATTTTTTACCGTTAAAAATAGATTACTACATTTTTAAACAAATAAGTTGCAAAATTAATGAGAAAAGAAGTGGACACGCACGTGTGTTATGCAATGTGTGCCAGTTTGGAGTAGCATTGGTCAATAGGATTAATAGTTCTAAAATTCTGAGAAACATTGTAAATCACAAGATCAACGAAGAAGCGAACGCTAATGGAAAATGAAGAAAAATTGCTAGGAAAATAATCGCGACTCAAGTGCCACAACGTAAGTTGTGCAAATATAAATGTCACAAATTAATTTTTACTTTCTTACGAACACGCTGAAGCATAATAGTAAGTAAAATATCCGAAGTTTTGATTAAAAAATTTCCGCTTTCTTTTTTTTAAAGTTTTCAAAAAGGGAAGCGGGAACTTTAATCAGAACTATAGAAATCTCACTATATCGAGATGCTAACTTTGCACACGTTGAATTTCCATCTTACCCAAGTTTTTCTCCCAACTTGTGTTTTGTGTGCAAGTCAAATCGTGCGTGTGCAAAATCGTGCACAATAATTCTTGAAACAAAACTTCCCGTATTCAATATACATATTTTTATTCGCGCGGAATATCCAAAAAAATAGAATTCATTGATGTAAATTTAAGCAACGATCTTGCGATATTGGTTTATTCCCACGAGAAATTAACAAAAAAATGTCTACGATCAAAAAGCAATATTTTTGAAACTTAATCGTTCAAATAATTAATTAATGCTCATTTATGCAGCGATATTGCCGATCTTTCGATCATTACCCGTGACAATTTGCAAGTTTGATCAATCCGAAAAAAAAAAAAAAAAAAAAAAAAAAAAAAAAAAAAAAAAATTCTACGAATGATTTGCATAGAAACGCGCGCACAAATTTATGCTCGCACAAAGATCGCATGTCAAAATAGAGAAAGAATTTTATTATTAGAGTCGCGATTGCGGATGATATATTGTGATGATTCGATGGTCAATATTAAATAACAAACATTCAATATAGATATCCAATTGTGCGATATATCAACAGTTTTAATAAAAAAAAAAAAAAAAAAAAAAAAAACAATATGTAACTTCGCAAGCAGTTATTACTAGAGCAATTTATAATATCGAAATTCTGTTAAAACTCGAATATTACTTCATTGTCGATAATTGAGGTACTTAGTCGAAAATCCGATTATACCTTATTAACATATTGGTAGGTGTAATTTGTGTCAGTGACCTCAAAACTTCCTCTTGAAATATAAAATCGGATTTTACAATATCTTTGAAACATTAAATATTTCACATTGAATAAAGTTTATCCTCCTCTTTTCTCGTTGGTGAAGAGAAATGACTTGTGGGCAAAACTCACACATGGATTTCTACTGTAATATCAAGTTCAGTGACGCGCGCGATTCAGGCGGTGAGATTGCACTAACAATTATTGACTCAACAAGGCATATCTATCGCGTCTTTTACAATACATTCGCTCGCAAGTACATATACATATGTATTACAAAGCTTACTTTTCTTTGAACACCGTATCTCGAACGTTCTCTGTGCCAAGTATTAAAAGAGACGATATTTCTATAAAATAAACAATGGAGATAGGAGTACGCACAGCGTGCGAGAAGTTCACTTACTGTTTGGAGAATCTTCGACGGTCGGAATGAACGTGATGTTTTTCGAGTGGAAGATCTTTTGGACCTGATCGCAATTGGTGCCGGTGGACGTCGTGCTGTCGTTCACATTGCCGGCCGATCTCGCGTGCACCGTCGCGCTCGTGCAGAGACCCACGAGGATCACGAGCAGAAGGCAGAAGCGCGCGGAGGACGCGCGAACTCGCAGTGTAATTTTCATTTCGGCAAAATGGCTCCGAACAAATCGGCGCGTCGCGACGAAATAAAAGATTGTGTATGCGTGCGTGTGAGTGTGTAAATCGAGAGGAAAAAATCGCGAGAAATTCGCGCACACCGGCGAAGATACTCTCTCGCGGAACGTTCTCGCGCGAGAAATCAGTCTGTCTCTCTTGGCGCGCGCAGGAGATAGCGCCTTGCCAGTTTTCCTCCCTCGCGTTCCGTTCTTTTAATCTGGTTTCTCCTTCCTCTTCTTTTACAAAGAAGTCGAAGCGCGGCCGACGATTCCCGGTGGAGTCATCCACCGTATCGGAACGCGATGATCGCTTGCCGAACGGCGGACGCGCCGTCAGACAGCACGACGACGACGACGAGAACGAGCGGCGGTGCTGCGAGCACTCGGAATATGCGGCGCGAACATTTGGTGCGTTCGTAAAACAGAGTAAGAGACGAATGGGAAAAAAGGAAGAAAGAAAAGAGGGAAACGAATACACGAGAGACAGAAAGTGAGTGAGTGAGAGAGAGAGAGAGGCCGAGTAAAGAGAGGTCAGAGACAGCGACGCGTCCAGACAATCACACACATCCAGCAGCACTCCCGACACATGAACGCGCGGCTACTTTGTCCGTATCACAGTGTGAAACGCACTTATCTCTGTTTGATTTTTACATGTGTGCGTGTATATGCCTTAACACGCGCGTTGTATACGCACGCGTATATACGTATGTGTATATAACGCCGAGAAAACGAGACGAGAAACGAAACGCGCGCTGAGACGCACCTCCCACGAACGGCTCGATACGACTGAAGCGCTCTGATGCGGCTCCTCGTCCACGACTCCACGCGCTCGCCGGACAGTATACAGTAGCGCAACCCCCGCAATTTTGCGAAGCCCAAAATGCGAATACGCGTGCGCGAAATAATAAGAATTCTGTCCAGTAACTGTAGCGTATTTTCTCTCTCTCTCTCGCTTCTTTTGCATGCGAGAACTTTCTTTCTCCCTTGCTCCGTTTACTGCGAGACTCCGGGGATGAGTATACCTGAAAAACCGACGAATGATAATGTTGAGAATAATCGGCTTTGTCGGTATTTCAGCTACTACTCGCTCGATCATCTCATCGATGCATACATGCAGACGTGAAAAAAAGGCAACGAGGGAAAAACAAAGAATTAAATCTCAGATATAAAAAAGTGAGAGAATAAAGATCACACAGAGAAAAAGAGATCTTTTTGTTTCAAACTGTTTTGTTTTTTTTTTTTTGATATTGTGATTTGGACAAAAGTGAATGACATACTTTTCTGACTTAACCTTCAAATTTGTACAATATAGGTATGTTACTGAGATTTGGAATGTCAATATTTTGTGTGTAATACATTTAAATTCTCGTATATTTTATTATGAAAATAATTCGTTCTGATCGTTAAAGTAACTTTTCTGAGTAATATCTTAATTTATGTTGACAAAATAATATCCGCTACTGTAATTATACATGTGTTGATTTTATTAATGACGAATTCGATTGGATGCACTAGTGCGCATTGAGTGCACCTTCTTTCATTGTGTAGTAGAATATATTTCATTGTTAGTAAACCAAGAAATATTTTAAGGCTTTATAAGCCTTCATTGTTAGTAGTTTACTACACATTGAAAGAAGACGCACTCAGTGCGCACTAGTGCATCCAATCGAATTTGTCGTAAGTGACAATGTACAAACTTACAAAGTTCTCAAACTGTCCATTTCATACATCTTGTGTCGAGATGCGTACCTAGACATTTAATCGAACAATATCTGGCACCGCAAGGTATACAGGTGTAATTACTAGGAAAGCCACATACGGAACAAAAATGTCTCTCAGGGAAGCGAGAAGATGGCACTTGTGCAGACACGTAATTAGGTGGATTAGGATTTGTATTGAGATCTTCTTCCACAAGTTGAGGAAAACTTTTGCGAAAACGTTGCTTGTAATATTCCGACGAGCGAGTTTTCTTTTTCCTGGCACTTCTGTTGTCTAACGTCTCTTGAAACTTGGGAACTTTCTTGCTCATAACTGAAAACAAGAATATAAATTATGCTATTGTTTGTAATATCTGAGAGAAGAGATATTTATATGGCCACACCACCTAAGTCAGCATGTGGATCATCATGAAAGTTATCTTGTTCCAGTGCTTCCAGGGCTTTCTTCTGCCTGCGTTTACGTGCAGCATCATCCAAGATTCTTTTCTGACACGCATCTTTTATTCGACCCGACTCTCTAGCCATTTTTTTTATAGCAGCGCAAACCTTGTTTCAGATAGTAAAGCAAATGTTGTTTCTTTCTTTTTTTATATTCCTTTCTCAGCTAATGGGAATGATATCTGATCCATAAGATCGTCTACTTTTGCTTGTAGAGTTTCTAATATGTCAGCAGATATAAACAGGTGTCTTTCATCTAAATCTTGAATTATGAACTTTTTTCCTAGAGCAGTTGTTTCATCCAAGTGTAGAAGAAATTGTTTCATAGCCGCATCACTAAACATTTACATACATATAAAAGTTTTAATTATCTGTTTTTAATATTGTACATATCTATAGGTATCATGTCAAAGAGAAAAGGTGTTTCTGTTGATGAGAAACGTTTGCGAATGTTGCAAATATTTTATGAAACAAAGGAGTTCTTCACACTGAAGGAAATTGAGAAAATCGCTGTGCAACAAAAGAAAATTGTAGTTCAGAGTGTCAAAGATGTGTTAGAAGCACTTGTGGATGATGGTTTGGTAAAATCAGAGAAAATTGGCACTAGTACATATTACTGGAGGTTTCCAGGGTAATACTTTGTAAAATACTTTAAATCACTATTATACATATTATACTTGTTAAATTGCATATAAATAATAGGAAAAAAAATTATGTAGAGACAATATTACTGCAACAGAAGCAAGAATATCTGATACAAATAAAAAGTTGGTTGAAGCTGAATTCAAGCTTCAGAAAATAAAGGAAAAGATAGAGAGGGAAAAGGTGATAAAAATAAAACTATAGTTTTTAGTTACTCACTTTTTGTTTGGTGTATAATTTTTCTTAAGCCTCTAAAATGTTTATTAAACAGGAACAAAAAAATGATACAGAAGAAAGAAGAAATCTAATGAAAGAAATTGAGAAGCTGAGAAAAGAAGAGCAGGAGATAAAACAACAAATTGTAAAATTTAGTGATGTTGATGAAGGAGCGATTGCAGAAATGAGTAAAACTGCACGGGTATAATCTAACAGTTATGACTACAACTGTTTTAAAACAAAACAAAAGAAATGACGTAAAATTGTAACATTCAACTTTATTGTAGAGGTACAAGGATGCGGCTAACACATGGACGGACAACATTTTTTCTTTGCAGACTTGGTGCAAAAACAAATTTGGTATCACTGAACAGAATCTTAATAAACAGTTTAACATTCCTGATGATTTAGATTATCTTGAATAAGTTGTATATTTACACTATCTTGTAAATATACCATTTTTATATCTTGTTGATCACTTCAATAAATTATTTTTTTCTACAAACGCAACTGCATAGTTTCAATATAAATATAATATATGCATGTAAGAAACACAGAAGTAATTTTTGTCGCGCTAAATGCAAGATCTGTTCCATTTTATCTTATACGAATTTTTATTGTAATTAAAAAGAAAAGAACGTACCATTCGACTAAAATTCCTTTTGTGACATTTACCATCTCTCATATCGAAACAATAAAAACTTGTATTCTCTATATCACAATCAACTACAGTAAACTGTAGCAGACTGTAAATGCCGAATTAACATAAGAGGTTAGTTTTTCGCTCCGAATGCGCATGTGCAGTTGCTTGCAGCCAATTGAGCCAATAATACAGTGAAACGGTTATACCGATACAGTAAGCTGTGAGAACTGAGAAGTAATATTCATGCGATTGTAATAGAGTGGATGTTTATACTTTTCTTTCCATAAACTCAGAATAAATCTAAAGTTCACAATGGAACAGGTTAGATATAGCACGTTAAATATATATATATATATATATGTATTAAAATAGATGCGTCGCGTTTGGCGTCATGATGCTAACTACCGAGAAAATCTAAACGCAAGCTATAACACACTAAATATTTAATAAAAAAAGAATTTACATTTATATACTCTAATTTCCGCTAAAGTAGCAAACGGTGTATATTTCTTTTAATATTTTGATTAATTTGTTTTTATATCTGACCTACAAGTAAAAATACAAGTAGGTAGGTTAGGTTAAGTTAGGTATAAAGAGAAGCAAAAATATAAACACACAGAAATTATTCTCTTGATCAAAAGTAATAATCATAATTTATATTTGTAAAACTATGACTATATCATACATAATACCTAAATTTATGATTTTAGTCTTCTAAGCAAGTATATTTCTATATAGATAAGTTTCCTAAAATTTGAAATTAATGCACTAGTTTCAGTATTTGATTATATTTGATGTTTTTTTCAGTATTTACTTTTTTTCCAGTATTAAATTATATTTGATTACATGATAATTTTTATATCTATCACTTTTGCAGGACTTGAAAGCTAAAATTGACCAAGCTTGTCAGACTGCTGAAGAATTTACAAAATTATATTATGAGACATTGGACAAACGAAGATATGTAAGGAAAACTAATACTGCCCTGACACATTTGGTTTGCTTTGCAACTTATACACTGTGTTAAATTGTATGGTTTAGCTAATATCAAGAATGTACATGGAAACTGCTAATTTGACATGGAATGGAAATGGGATATCAGGCAACGACAACATACAGAAATTCTGTACAGATCTGCCATCTTCTGAACATACTATTACTACTCTGGATGCTCAGCCAATAATAGGTAAGAAAGCTAATAATTCACACTTTTATATCTGTAATTGTAAAAATATCAGACAAGTAAAAATATTAGATTTACTACATCTAATTTGTATCTTGAATTTTAAATTTCGATTTTGAAAAAATAGTTTTCCACATTTATATAAAGATGATACTAAATGTTTTTAGTTTATATTGTTTGCTTTATCATAGCACAAAGTAAAAACTAGTAAAATCTAAATTTATGCTTGCTATTTGAAGTATTATACATGTATGAAGTATTATAGTTTGTTTTAAATTAAATTTCATTATGTAACAAATAGGTTCGGATGCAACTACCCAGCTATTATTTCTTGTCAAAGTCGGAGGACAAGTAAAATATGAAGAGAAGAGCTTTACAACAATAAACCAAACCTTCTTAATAACAGCTATAGATGACAAATGGAAGATTGTAAACGACTGTTTCCGAATGCAAGAACTAGTCGATAGTGCTACTAGTTCATAAACTCTAATAGTGCCACTAGTTCATATACTAAAATGTATTATATTTCATATTTTTATAAGAGAGAATAATGTGATTTCTTATTTTTCTATTATGATATAGAATATTGTGATAAAAAGAATATTTTTTGTTGTGATATAGAATATTGTGATAAAAGGATATTTTTTGTTTGCAAAAAGTTTATAAAATATATTTAGGGGTTTTCAGAAAAACAAGTTTATTTACACCTAGGACGGTGAGTTGCGATTAGTAGAGATATTAGTAGATTATATTTGTAAAATAAAAAGGCATCCTTGAAGAACTCACTGTCCTAGGTGTAAATAAGTTTCTTTTTATAAATGTATGCATAACTACGCTGCAATCGAATATGTAACAAGATAGGTTACATATACTAAACGTGTGTTAGTTGTGTACACAACGCGTCAATGAATCGCGGAATAGGTGCGGGGATCGGGGGGCAAGCGGGGCGGTTGTTCGTAGCGCCAACGAGCGCCGTGCGAACTAACTAGTAGCAATCGGTTGTCTACAACTACGTCGTGTCGATAATGTAATTGCTCTTCCTTCCTATTTTCTTCTCAAAACGTAAAAGTATTGGCCATTTACTTAATATTTAACATTGACAAATAACATGTGTATATGTATATATGTAATAGATGGATCTATTAATGTCTCCGGTAAATAAAAGGAACGTATATTGTAAAAGTCTCGTTTAAAAAAATATATGTATATTTAATATTAATAATTATATGTAGCCACTAAATAAATATAATTCTATTATATTATTATTTTATTCTATTATATCTATATAGAGTATTGTGTATACAATTAAATATATATATGTAAAAATCGAAATATTAAAAAATGAATAGGGCAAACCGTATATAAATAAAATAAAAAAGATATAAAAAATAAATATATTATAACAAATAGATATATGCCAACTGTAGAACGTATTCAGAGGAACCCTCACGGACACAGAAGACATACAGAAGAAATTTATATATATATATATATATATATATATATAATTAAATTATATATAATATACATATATTATACATATATAATTTAAATATACATATATAAATTAATTATATATATATATATATAATATAATTTCTTCTGTATGGTTTCCGTGAGTGTTCCTCTGAATACGTTCTACAGTTGGCATATATCTATTTGTTATAATATATTTATTTTTTATATCTTTTTTATCTTATTTATATACGGTTTGCCCTATTCATTTTTTAATGTTTCAATTTTTACATATATATATTTAATTGTATACACAATAGTCTATATAGATATAATAGAATAAAATAATAATATAATAGAATTATATTTATATAGTGGCTACATATAAATATTAATATTAAATATACATATATTTTTTTAAACGAGACTTTTACAATATACGTTTCTTCCATTTATTAAATACATATACAGGGTGTCCCAGAATTGCCGTATAATCTCTCGTAGGCAGATAGAAGGAATAAAACTGAGTCGAAAAGTCCTGAACCATTTTTTTCTATTATTTATAATAAAGGAGTAATTATTGAGTAAATCAGGCCAATCAGCGCCGACCTTTAGCCAGGC